CTCCCTCTTCTCCCTGTTGTGGCTTCCAAGGGATTTAGTGAGTTTGGTCTGCTGGAAGGAATTCCCAGTTCCCCAGTAAATACCAGGCTTTGATGTGGAGCCTGAGGAGAATCTCGTTTGTCCATTCAGTTGTGCTCAAAGTTCTCAAGAATCCTAATGGAAGGCACAAAAAAAAAAGTCCTTTTTGATTTATTCAGTACAGTGCCTGTTTTAAAGTGTGCACTAGAGCCTCAGCCTGGATCAGCAATCCTGTGTCCAGCAGGAGCAGGGCAGGGATCCTGCCCCTGGACTGGGCACTGGGGAGGCCACAGCTTGAGCACTGGGGTCAGTTTTGGGCACCACTGGATAACAAAGACCTTGAGGGGCTGGAGCAGGTCCAGAGAAGGGCAACGAAGCTGGGGAGGGGTCTGGGGAACATGATTGTGAGGAGATGCTGAGGGACTGGGGGTGTTCAGTCTGGAGAAGAGGAGGCTGAGGGGAGACCTTATTGCTCTACAGCTCCCTGAGAGGAGGCTGCAGTGAGGTGGGGGTTGGTCTCTTCTTCCCATTAACCAGCAACAGGACAAGAGGAAACAGGCTGAAGCTGGAGCAGGGGAGGATATTAAATCAGTTGGGTAGTGCTAGAGATAAGCAGAGGGGCATGGGGAGTTTCCTGACAGTTTGACTTCACCTCTCTTCAGCCTGGGGGTTAAATTACTCCAGCCCCACTGGGAAGGTCAGAGCCTGCACTGGGAGGCTGGCTGTGAGAGGCTGCCCTGGCTGCACTCACACTGGGCAGGGCCTTGGCCTCCTTAAGTTGGGTCTGTCCTGTTAAAGCCCTGCAGGAGACAGCACCTCACAGAGCCACTGGCAAGGGCTTCTCCAAGGTAGGACATTGTGCTTTCTTCAGGCTAAAGTGGGTAGCTGACAGAGCTGGAGCTGTTGTGCTTCTGGACAAGGGCTTCTGTAGGGGAAAAATGGGGTTTGTTCCTTCCCTTTATCCCCCCACCTTTCAAATGCCACCTTTTGATTTCTGGAAATAGCCTCCCAGTTGCTGCCATTTGTCACACAGAGGACAATGTGATTCTGGGTGGCTGAGGGTAGAGCAGAAGAGGGGTTGTTGAGGGGAAACTATCATGGGGTTAGTTTCTTTTAGGACATGATGTCACCTTTGCTGCCTTTAGTGCACTCCTGACCTTATGAACTCAGATCCTTGTACCTCTGGGAATTTGCATCCTGGCCTCTATGGGATAAGAACCAGTTTTGGTTTTAAAGTGAAAGGTTTTTGCTTTTTTGACTGCAGAGATGTGATTTATTTTATGGGAAGCCTTTCAGAGAGTTTCCAATCACCTGTATTTACTGACATATTTCTGCTAACACCCTGCATGTTCCAGTCCTGCCTTTTGGGATGGAGAACTGAGAATTGGGGACTATCTGGACCAGTTACAAGCACTGGCCTCTCTCCTGCCAAGAACCTAGTGTCATAAACATTACCTGCCAAGAATCAGTAACAGGTTTTTTCAGCACAGATACCCAAATTTTAAACAAAGGTCATAGTGGAGTCTCAGACATGTGAGCAGGAGTTCTGAGGATGTCCAGTTCACCTGGGATTAGGGGTGCAAACCCACGTGTTCCCCACCCTGCCCCAAATTTTAGCATGATGTGGCATTATCTGCCATGGAATGTCTTTAGCTCCTTCAAAGCATTATCTATGGCTTGGCTTTTATGCTTTTTATCTTCCTCTCACAGCCTTTGTCCTGCAATTTGGCATTTGTATTGATTTGAATGAAGTCTTCTTTGTATATGGTTACTCTCCTTCAGACTGCAGCAGGTTTTTTCCTCTGGCTTTTGCAGCAAATAACCCTAATGCTGAAGAGAATATAGCTTCTTTGGGTGGCAACAGTTCTTTTCAGATGGTTTTTCAGCATGTTCAACAGGAGAAACTGAAGTAAGGGCTCGTGGGTTTGCAGTATAAACTAGTCTATGAAATCAAAGCAAAACTTGTTGCTGTAGGTCTAAAGTGCTGCAGAAATTCTTCTTTCCAAAATGATTTAGCTCAGCTAGGTTGTTCTCTCAAGTCTGACTGAAGTGAGATTTTCTTTGTTCTGGGGCTCTTTTTAAGGGGCCATTTGAGTATTGTCCTTGGCAGAAGGTACTGCAGCTGTATGCCCTCATAAAAAGGAGCTACATCTCTGATCAGCCAGTCCTCCCCTCCTTTGCCCCACTCCTTCATCAAGCCTTTCTCTTCCCCATCCTGAATTTCCCTCCCCATTTATCAGAGGGCATTACCTGTGGGTTTACACTCCACCCAGGAGGCTGCACAAGTGGGTTGCTGCTGGTGGCTGGTGGGCTCTTGGCTTGCTGCAGCCTTTGGGCAGAGATTGGGTCATTTCCCCAGGTCCTCTAAGTAATATGGGAGGAGAAGAGGAAATAGAACAATATAAGGTTAGGAAAGATTTTTTCAAATAAAAGGGGATTGAAGTTAAGCCTTCTTTGTTTAGAAAGCAGATGAATAAGCCATATGACTAGGGAACACATTAAGCAGGCAGAACTGGCTCCTCCTGATGAGCAGAGGGTGCTACCTGACCACAACACAGCTTTTTGTTGGTAGGTTTGGGGGCTCTTCTCCACCAGCCCCTGTGGCAGGGAGTTCACTCCTTGCAAACTCAACCTTTAGTTTTGCCAAAGCATGTGGAAGGAGCCATGCTGGAATCAGACACAGGACTCCCACTGCTTGGGTGGGTTTGTTAGAAGAGGTGTCAGAGGAGTCCCCTCTTCCCAGTTACCTTCTCACCTGCTTTACACCATCACTGTGTGGTACTGAGGTCAGAAGAAAAGCTGCTCAGGTTCTGCAGGTGCCTCAGCTTCACCATGGGCTCCTGAGGGAAGTGCCACTCCACCACTCAGCTCCCACTCTGGAAATCACTACATGGGAGCCAAATTTTGGATTCCATAATGTCCTGTAAGCCTCAGTGCTCAGTGTCAGCACAGCACCTGCTTCACCACGGGCTCCTAAGGGCAGTGCCACTCAGCTCCCACTCTGGAAATCACTACATGGGAGCCAAATTTTGGATTCCATAATGTCCTGTAAGCCTCAGTGCTCAGTGTCAGCACAGCACCTGCTGTCCCTGCCCACATCAAAAGAGACCTTTGAGAGCAACAACACCACCACAAAAGGACAACATAAAGAGGGCAGCTGCTTGAAGTGATGAACTGGACATGAACCAGGAAGGAGAACCTCCTGCTTGTCCAGCCTGATGGTGGCCAGTGGCCTTCTAAGCAGCTCTCTCTTTCCCAGGAGTTATTTGAGAGGCACCAGGCACTCCTCTGCCCTGTCAGCCCCACCATTCCTCTGCTGTAGGTCAGTCCCAAACACACTTGGTGTGCACTCCACACAAAGAACTGGAGGAGAAAGGTGCTGTGCTCACCTGCTGCCTTGCAAGAGGGACTTTCATCCTCCTTTTGGGTTCACAATTCCCCACTCTGGGCACGTTCCCTGTGCCTGGAGGAGCCTGTGGCCTGAGTGTCCAGCTGCATTCTGCACAGTGTGTTAGAGGAGGAAGTGCTCTGGAGACATGAGTTAGCTCAGGGGCAGGAAGATCTGTAGTGCCTTGAGAAGAGCTGTGTGCTCACCTGATGGCTTTATTTTTAGATCTTGTCAACCTTATTTAGAGAGAGCTCTGCTCTCTTTACATGTTATTTTACTGTGCTGTAGCTATGCCTGCAGAAATACTTATTTTATACAGGTTCAGCAAGCTAGTCTGTTCACTGGCCAGCTCCTTGGGAATTCTGCCCAAACCCCCACTGGAAATCTGCAAGAGTTTGACATTTTCCAACATTACCTCTGTCCCACTGCACACAGAGCCTCTGTCAGCCCCTCCATGCAATTCAGTCCTACTCAGTGACACCAATTTCTGGCTTAGCTTTATCAGTTTTCTACTTCTTGTTGTTTCTAAGCTTTCTTATTTTCTACTTCTTGTTGTCCTTTTGTTCCTTCAAACTGAAACAAGTTCAAACTCTATCTGCACAACAGGGGAGAAACACTAAAGTTTGGGCTTGGCTTTATGTGCCACCCAGAAGCTGAACAGATTCCAGGAAGGGGTTGTAACTGATTTTACTGTGAATCAAGCATAAAATCTTGGGGGTCTCTGCAGTGGGAAGATTAGTGACCTTTTTAAAGGAGAAGCATCACTTACTCTTTGGCCATGCAGTAAGCTGTAACAAACTGCTCCCTCAAAGGCAGTGGCTTAGCAAGGAGCTTAGGGCTCTGCCTTGGTACCAAAGTCTAGTTCAGGATGAGCTAAGTCTCAGAGATACCTTCAGCCTGGGTTTTATTTCAGCAGATTCATGCTGTTAAACTGCACAGTTACTGCTGGAGCACAAGTGTGGGCTTCAGCCTGCTAGGCTGGACCTGTGGCTGGTTTAAATGGGATGAGTTGTCTCTGCTAACAGGGGGTGAAGGACACTGGGGATGGAAGCACAGATTTCACTGCATTAAGCAAGGAACATACTCAGAGAAAACTTACTCTGAGCCTCCAGAAGACAGAGTGGCTTTTATCAGTCTGGGATAACACAGTCACTGGTCTCTGGCATGCAGATACTGTGGTACTGGCTGTTCTAGAGGAAAAAAAGAGGTTTCATTACTAACAAAAGAATGCAGAGCCATATCCCAGCCCTGAGGAGCTCCCCCTCTAAACACACATTATACAAGAGAGTGGATCTAGAGCAAAATGTGGGAACAGCATCTCTGAACCCAAGTTTGTGACATGGCAGCTGACAGGATCCAACATCAAGCATCCTACTGGGATGTCCAGCAGTTAAATACCAAAAATGGGGTAGTATTAGGAACTTTTGAAAGCCTAAATGAAAGGATGAGCAAATCTGTTGGGATCTCTGTGTGGGATTTGGTTTATTGGTGATCTGTTAGCTCAGGGTTAAGAAAAGGACTTCCTTATGAATTTATAGCTTCTTGTAATTTTCCTGATGGTGAAATGATCTTTTTCTTTTCATCTTGTGGCTGTAGGAGGACCGTTCAGAAAGGAAAGCTCATGGATTTCACCAGCACAGTCATCCTGCCCCTGCTTTTTGGCAGCCTGGGGATCTTCGCCCTGTTCCGGGTGCTGCAGTGGATGCGGATGCGTGCCTACCTGCAGGAAGCAGTGGTGGTGATCACAGGGGCCACCTCTGGCCTGGGCAAAGGTACATCCCAAAGGAAGGGCACCAAAGGCAGGGCAAGAGAGGGTTGTGGAAGGGGCACCTGTTGGGATGAAGCAGTGATGAGCAGAAAGCTCCTATTCCTGCCAATTTTGAGGCAACGGCGCAGCCATCTAGGTTACAGTTAAAGCCAGCCCAAGTTTTGATGTGTGGAAGTCTTAAAACTTTTAAGGAAAATTTAAATCATCCTGGATAAAGTGGAGCTCATCAAAGCAAGGAACGAGTTATGCTGTTCTTGTGGTGTCAGGGGTCTTTTCTCTGAAGCCTGCAAAGGCCAGGAGTCTAGTGGTTCTCCAAAACTTCCCAGAACTGGTGTCCTGCGTTCAGGTTTGTTGGATTTCCAGAATCCCTGCCATATTTTCCACTCCCTCTCCCTGCCCCTCACCCCTCTGTCAAGGTACCTTTTCTCTTGTGGTACAAATCCATCCATTCTAAACTCAAACTCTTGGCAACATTAACACTAGTAATTTTTTTTTTCTAAATTAAAAGAGTTCTTTTTTTTCCCCAATAAAATTTATTCCTTGAGTGGATACATTCTCTAATTCTGCATTCTATAATTGCTTTAAAAGCTTTTTGAAGACAAGGTGCTCCCTGCTCTCAAGGCCTTTCATTAGGATGAGAACATTTCTAGAACAAATGGAGCTTAAATTGGTGCTGTCTTTGCATGTGAGTTTGTCTTTAAGGACACAATGGTCAGTAACTGAATGGCCAAAGGAGATGAAATGATCCCCTCTGCCTGCCACAACCAAAGGGCTGGGAGTGGTAATAGAATCTGTGTTTCATGTCAAGAAGAGACAGAAGTAGTATCTGAGGAGAGACCTTCCAGCTGTTGCAGGCTGTTGGGTGTTGGTTGGTGTGTAGGTTTCCCCTGCTGTACGTTTCCTCCCTCACTGCCAAGGTTTTACACCATTCCCCTCACTCCCAGTTATTAGTGCACTAGACCACCACTAACTCCTGTGTGTTCTTAACACCCTTTGTTACTGCCCACTGTCCCCACCTGCACAAATGAGCAGTATCATCACAGGGGGGTAGGGTAGAGGAACGTGCAATTGCCTCAGCAGCTGGAGCACTGTAAAGAGGACAGCAGGATGGAACCCCCTCTTCGGCCTCTTCCTGATGGAGTCATTGGCTCCAAGGCTTCAAAACTTTTAGAGGTGTTCACCAAAGCTGAAACTCCTAACACCAGGCCCTGCTGTGTTAGATGACATGCATAAGGTAACTGTAGTCCCTCTTAAGAAGGGCAGATAGACCAAAATTCAGAGGCACAGGAAAATCTGACCAGTTTCCATGGGGGTGGATGTGTGAACAGCACCATAACCAGCACATAACTGAGCACACCAGCCCCCCACTGCTGTCAGGTGTCCAGCAGAGTCACAGAGGATGGCATCTTGCTGTAAATCAGGGAGCAGAAAGCCATCTTTGCCAGCTAAAAGGAAGTTTTAGCCTGTATCACCAGGCATGATGTGGATCTGCTGTTTGCCTCTGTCATTCAAATGTCTACTTTTCTCTCTTCCTTGCTTCCTGCCCAGAATGTGCAAAAGCCTTCCATGCAGCTGGCTCCAGGCTCGTGCTCTGTGGCAGAGACAGTGAGAAGCTCAAAGACCTGGTGCAGGAGCTTTCTGCCATGACCAATCACCAGAAGAACGTGAGTGTGGGAGGAGGAGAGGCTGGTGGGCTCACGTGGCTGGGATCTCTCTTGGTGTTATGACAGAAGTGCTTGTGGGTTGCTCTGTTAAGCAAGAGGAAAAACACAGTTCTGTGGTTAGAGCTAGATGCTGCTACAGGAGGATGTTGAGCTGATCTGCCATATCTTGTAAAAACTCCACCAAAATAAGCCATCAGAAAGACTCCTTGGCAGGGAAAGCACTCAAGTGCCTGGCCCCCATGCCCCTGCATGTCATATACTGAGTCTGGAAAAGTGACTTTCCTTCTGCTGGCTTTTATTTTTCAGGTCTAGCAGCTAAGAAAGGTGTTGCTGGCTTCTGTAGAAGACACATGGGTGAAGCTTTTGAATTTTTCAGATTCATTTTCTTTAATAAGACAACAGGAAACCTTAGTGCTTGAGGAAGATCTCACCCCTTTTTTAGGCTCAGGTATAAGGAAGAGGCTACAGGAGTAGAGAAAGATGAGAGCATAACCTGCTTCTGTCATGTATTCCCACCAGCCAGAACTGCTGTGCTTGCACAAGGTTTGGATGGCCCTGCCTCTGTGCTGCCAGAGCTGGCAAATCCCATCCTGAGCACAACAGCACAGTCAGCACAGCCTGAACTGGCCTGTTGCTAACTGCTGTTTATTCACAGGCACACAAACCTCACACGGTGGTATTTGACCTCTCTGACACCAAAGCTGTCCTGAATGGTGCTGAAGAGATCCTGAAGTACTTGGGTCACGTGGACATACTCATCAACAATGCAGGCATCAGTTTCAGAGGCACAATTGTGGACACAGGACTGGACGTGGATAAGAAAGTGATGGAAACAAATTATTTTGGTCCTGTAGCCCTCACCAAAGGTACCTGTGATCATTACAGGGGGACAGTTGAGATTTGGTATGGTTGAAGAGAGGAGGAAAGTTTTGTTTTAGGGGCAGGAGATACTTGGGCATGACTGCCTGTGATCCACATTACAGGGGGACAGTTGATTTGGCTGATACCTTCTGCAGGCCAACACAACTAAGCACAGCTTAACTTCTGTTTGTAATTGTATTTGGTATGGTTGAAGAGAGGAGGAAAGTTTTGTTTTAGGGGCAGGAGATACTTGGGCATGACTGCATGGGAAGTACTTGATTAGAGACAGGACCTTGTTTCAAACACCTCCTGAGTCTGGCAGGAACTTAGGAAGAGAGATGCTGATTGCAGGGGGGTTGGATTAGATGATCTTTGGAGGTCCCTTCCAACCCAGTGCATTCTATGATTCTGTACAGTTTGCCTGTCTGCACTGACAGAACACTAGAGAACACAGTTTAGGTGAAGCTTTGTGTTTCCTAGGAAGCTTCTTTGGTTACACAGAAGGTTCAGCCTGGAGGGTGTCAGCTGCAGGAAAAGGGAAGATGTACTGGTGGCAGCAAGTCCCACTGACCATGCCTGAGGGAGGTCACAGCCACTTGTAACCTTTGTGTGGCCTTGCTGGCAGGAGGGGTCTCCTCACAGGTGAGGGAGCCAGCAGCTTCAGTTAGAGCCCTAAGCACTGTCCCCTACCCTGAACAAGGGTCTTGTAAATGCCTTCAGGCAGCTCTGAAAGCACCAATTCTTGACAGCAGGACTGTTATTCTGAATGGGTCTTTTCTGTTTTCTGCTAGCACTTCTCCCCTCCATGATCAAGAGGAGACAAGGCCACATTGTGGCCATCAGCAGCGTTCAAGGCAAAATAAGCATTCCTTTCAGATCTGCATGTAAGTACCTCCACAGAAGATGGGCAAGACATATTTGGGGCACGAGACTGAATGAACACTTGGCTGCTGCTTCCACATTCAGCTGTAGAGCTGGCTGCACGCAGGGAGGGCAGAGCTGTGCCTCACTCTGAGTGTGTCACAAATCACTGACAGCAGCTGAGGAAGCCACAGGGCTAAGATTTTGTTTGCCAGTCCTAGAGTTGGTAAGGGATGGAAACAAGAACGTTTCCAGTGTCTTGAAAATGTTTTCAGTGTTTTGAGAACAGCCTGATATTCCTATCTTCACACTTGAGAGTCCATACAAACTTTCTGATAAATTCCATAATGTTATTGCATTTTATCCTTGCTGTTTGCCTGGTTAATCTCCTATAAGAAAGAAGGAACCTTCTGGTTTACTAAGTTATGAAGTGCCATAGTACAACCAGTACCAAAATAAAAGCCTCAATGGTTATCTCAATCCAGCAAACTCTCCATGCTAAATCAGTTACAGGAAGATATAATATTGGTGAGATTATTGGAGAAAACCCTGTAAAAGATGGAGGAAGTAAAAGGTGAGAGTTTGGCCCACAAACAAAAATGGAAAAGTACAGTGGTGCTGGCATGAGAGTGGTAGGGCTGAGCAAAGGAGAGCCTGGGACATCTGGGCCATCTGGCCTTGCAGATGATGTGGGTACACACCAAGAAGTGTGTCCTGAAGAGCCTCCTGAGCCCTTGCACAGTGACCAGGGCCTGGCAGCTCGGAGCTGGGCTGACACCACGCCGAGGTGAAGCAGTGACCATGTGTACAGGGAAGGGGAGTGAGCTAAAGGAGTCACCCAGCCTCTGAACAGGAGAAACCCTGCCCTAGGGCACACTTCTCCTGCTGGCCTGCGTGGTCAGGCCTTGGCTTGTGTGCAGCCTGGCTCTGAACCTGCTCAGCCAGTCCCTGATGTCTCCTGTATTGTCAGGAGGTGGCTCGGGCTGGCCCCACACTGCTCTGGCATGGCTCTGATACTAAGCTCAGGATCCCAGCCAGGTTCCAACTTGATTATTTACATTTTGCCTTCCTAAATTACCTCTCACTCCCCCTACCTGTTGCTGCCATTCACTGAAAAAAAAAAACCAAGCCCAGAAATTGGAGAACAGCTGCTTTCTTGCTGAGGCGTGGCTGCACTGCAGTGAAAAACCCATTCAGGGGCGTGAATCTTCCTTCAGCCCTGCTCCTTCCTCCTCAGGGCATTGTCCTTTCCCTGTTTTTCAGATGCTGCCTCAAAGCATGCCACCCAGGCCTTCTTTGACTGCCTGCGAGCAGAGGTGCACCAGTATGAGATCGACGTGACGGTGGTGAGCCCTGGGTACATCCAGACCAACCTCTCTCTCAACGCTGTCACCTCAGATGGGTCTCGCTACGGAGGTGAGATACCATTCTGTGTCTTGTAGCTAAAGTGTCTCCACCTCACTGAGTTACTCCCAAGTGTGCTTGCAACACACAGCCTCTGGTGGGGTCTGAGGTGGTGTTAGCCCCAAAGTATTAAAAGCCAACTTTGGGAGCAGAGTAGAAATGTAATCCCCAAAATTTAGCCTTCCTTGGCAGCAACCGCTGACTTCCAGCCCAGTTAGGAATGGTACCTGCCTGTGCTCCACAGCTGGTGTGAAACCCCAAACCGTACAAGCAGGCGTGCCCAGGTAGAAGAGAGCACCCCTGGGAAGGGCACTGAATGTGTGTGGGCTCACCTGCTGGCGGGGGTGCTTACCTGGCTTTCCTCTGGCAGTTATGGACAAGACCACGGCCGAAGGACAGTCAGCAGCAGAGGTCGCCCAGGTGGTTCTCAGCGCCGTGGGACAGAAGAAGAAGGAAGTCCTGGTCGCTGGCCTGACACCCTCCCTGGCTGTCTACCTGAGAAACCTCTTCCCCAGGCTCTTCTTCACCTTAATGGCAACTAGAGCAAAAAAGGAGAGAAAAACAAAGGACTCTTAGAGCCTGGCTCCTCCGAGCAGTAACTGTGGGGAGAGGCAAACCCCTGCAGTTTGGCTGGGGCGTCAGCAGAGGTGCTCCTGCAGGAAAGGCCTCTCTCAAAATGCTGCAGTTTACCATGGTCTGGGGAGTGGGAAGCGGTTTCCCCCACATCAGGGCAGGCCACTTGGGGGAAGACAGCACCTTAACCTCACCTGAGAAAGGGTGCTGGGAGAGAGGGCAGAGCTGAGGCTGCAGGGGAGGGTAACTCAAGGGAACAGGGAGGCCCACGTGCTGGAAGCCAGCACCTTGCCTCCCCTCACTCCAGATGTGCTCAGCTTTACTGGCCTGCTACAAATAAAACCCACCCATTTTGCCTTCACACCAGCAGATCCTGGCTTTCCCCACCCCCATGGCCCCTGTGAAATACAGTCCTTGGCTCCTGGGAGCTCTTGTGATCAGTGTCTCCTTTCAATCTGATCTAGAACACGTTGCTTGAAGTGGGAAACTTCACAGGACCTCTGCTTGTGAACATACCAAACACAATGATATGTAAAGCTAAAGTCCAGTGCCACTTTTGAAGAAGTAACTGATGTAAAATTTAAGCATTATTTGGCAATTATTTTGTGTGAACAATGCCTTACTGATGTAGAGGGATGTGGAACTCAGTGCTGCCTGACTACAGCACTAACCCCAGCCCAAGTTAATGCAGGGGAAGCACTGAACAGACCAGAGCTGGCCCAGTGAGGTGTGGTGCTGTGCCTCAGCACCACCCGGCCCAGCTGCAGGCCCAGAGCACAGCACAGGTACAGCTCTGCAGGTGCCAGGCACATCTCCTGACAAGCAGAGGAGAATCTGTGCATGTGGAATGGACAGCACAGGAGCCAGACCCTTCTCATCTGTTTTAAAGCAATCGTGGGGGTTAATGGGGATCCCATCCAGTGGGGGAACAACACCTGCCTGTTCACATATCACAGGCTTCAGGGAGCCTGTCAGCCCTTCACTCATCCTGAATGAACCCTGTTCCTTCTTCACCCCTCCTCTTCCACTGGCAAAAAGGAGTGGCTGCACATGGAGAGGTCAGTGAGGACAGATTTAATCATTTTTTAAACTTAGAAGCCTCCTAGTAGGAGCCAAGGTCCAGAGCCCTGCAGCCACCTCCATGCACTTACTGCCATTTCCCTTCTCTGACAAATAAATGACACTGCTACAGAACCAATCCTTTGTTCCACTGCAGCTGCTCACAGCAGGTAACATTAGAGGAAGGGAAAAGCAGGAGGGTTTTTTCTTGTCTTACATTCCTGCAAGATGCTACTGTGCCAGCAGCAGAGCCCTCTTTACATCACCTGCTTAGAGCAGACATCGTGTGGACCCACAGAGGATGAGTCACAACAACACCCTGATCCAGGTGTGCAGGCCCAGCAGCACCATCTCCTTCAAAAAGCTGTTTCTTCACCACTACAGGTGTATAAATGACCTCTGAGAATCCACCCCAGATGATGACCAGGACGTGTTTCATGATCACAGTGCTGCTGCTCACTCAGGACACCCTCAACCCTTCTCACTGTGCCTGAGGTTGCAGATTTGTCATGTAAAGGTCGAGGGTTGAAACTGCAAGTTGAAGATCTCAGGCCTGTTATCTTTTTTCCTGTCAAGATAAGGAAACCAAGGCATTACCTTCCCTCCCACTCCACAGGGGGTTTCTGAAGCATTAAGTGGTGGTTTTCCTTTCATGTTTCACATGTCCACGCCCTCCATTTCTTGCCAAAACATACTGCTGCTGCCTGTCCTGTCCAGCTGCTCCATCTTCTGCTGTTTCAGGTCACAGCCACCCATGAAGGACTGAGGGGCTGCTTTGCATTTCTGTGTTATCATCCAGGGTGCTGAGAGAGGCAACACATCAGGGCTGAGGAAGAAAAAACACGTGTGGGAGTTACTCTAGTTCCTGTTTGAACGACAGCTCCAAGGCAGAGGTTACTCTGCACATTCCCCTTTAGAAGTTAACTCCCTGTGTGAGGAGGGGAATGTAGCATGCTCTGTTTCAGACCATGCAGGCTGTTTTTTAGAACAGACCTACCTGTTGTGACAGCTAAGCTGACTTGTCAGCTTTCCTCCTGCAATTGGAGACCACGGGAGACTTGGCTTATTTTTAACTCCAGAGTCTTTGATGCAAGCCACACGTTCAGGAGCCTTCCAAGGGTTGGTTAGTCCTTCTGCCAGTGATCATTCCAAGGGAAAGCTTAACACAGAGAAGTGCCAGGCCCACAGAGGTTTGGTGAAGAAAAGGAACTCAGAGCCCTGACAGTTATTGTGCATCAATTAAAAAAAAAAGAGCAGGAATGTCTTTTGTGTGGCCAGCACAAGGATATTTCAGGGCCTTCAGCAGCAATAAAGGACATAATAGCTATGGCAGATCTGCCACTAGTTTAAAATTCACCCAGACGACGAGACTTTAGAAACAATGGCAGGACTGGAAAGGCTCAGGAGTGGAGGGGCAGCCTGCCCAGCAGCCGTGGCCCAACCACAGCCAGATGAAGTAGCTGCATTTCTTCCCCTGCTCTCTGCCAAGGCAACTGTACATTGTTGCTATAAATAGAGGCACTCTGGATCTAGGCTGCTTTTAACCTTGGAGGGAGGCAACTCGGCCACTGGACCAGCAAAAGAGGCTCTTGCCACCTAGAAACGTCTCCATGCCACTGGAGTTCCCTCCAGCCCCCTTGGAGCTCAGGTGGGGCTGCCTGGGCTGGTGGCAAAGCCACTTGCTCAGAACCACCAGCCCACCCTGTGTGCCCTGCTACCAGAAAAGCTGCATCAGCAGAAAAGCCCCAGTTGGAACGGTGGCCAGGAAAGCTGGGTGCAGTCTGGAGGCGAGGGGGAATTCTCAGTCCCTGCTGGTGCAGTTTGGAAAGTTAAAGATGGATCTGCTCAGCTGGGTTTCTGACCACAGGAGGCTCCCCTGCAAGGTCAGGCTGGGGCTGCTGCTGAAGGGAGTGCTAACCTGGGTGCAGGCAGGTTTTACCACAGGGCTTTGCTCCTGCATGAGGATCCTAACACTTGAAGCTGTGCCAAGCTGGCCTGGTAAATGCAAGCCATGCCTGCTTTCCAGCTCTCTGCAGAAAGCAAGCCCCTAGCTTCTAAAACAAACCAGCAGATCTTGCAAAACAGCAAATAATTCCTATTGCAAGAAGATTTTGACAGTTTGGAGCTAGAAGATGAATTAATGCACAAGACTGAACTCTAAAATTTCATCTAACACAATTGCATGATACAATCCCCTGGCTGCCTCACAGCAGCAGGAGGTGGCCCCAGAAGTGTGTTCCAAGCAGGAGCAGTGGGATTGCAGGGAGGTGTCAGCAGCAGCACCAGTGCACAAGGTGAGACAGCCAGAGTGCCAGCTCAGCTGTGCTCTCCTGCATGTGGCACAGCGTGCTGCAGAGAAAGACCCTGCACAGAACAGAGCAGATTGCATTTGCAGGGGGAAACTTCCAGCATTTTCTCTCCCCTGTGCAGAGAAGTGATGGCTGGAGGTGGCAGGCAGCAAGGGACTGTGACACCTTCAGCCCTAACCATTGATGTTTAAGCCATTGCCAACAAGACCTGAACACCAGGGTAAGAAGTAAACCTCCTCCAAGCAACACAACCAGTCAAGCAAGAGGAAAAGCAACACTCCACAGCTATTCCTTCTGCAGATGGCTGCTGGGAAGCCACAGACACTGCTGCCAGGCACAATGGGCAAGAGCAGGGTCAGCTCTGTGTGTGAGGGTGCAGGAATTACCCTCTCTGTTGGAGTTCTGACAGCAAAGCCTCCATCCCCTGGAAGCACGCTAGCAAAGGGAACTGAGAACAGTAACGAGAGCAAAACCATTTGAAATTCTCATCCTTTAATGGTCAATGATAACTTCTGGCTGGTTCTGTGTAATACAGTTAAACAATATACTTAAATGTTTCCCAAAAAAAAAAAAGGAAAAAAAAAAAAAGCAGCTCTCCCCCCCCCCCCTCTTTCTATAACTTTCTTTTGTCAACATCCTGCTGCTGGCTTGGACTCCCAGGGCCTAACATACAGCTCTCAAGTCACCACACATCCACATCTTAAGTGTAACGAAGAACTGAAAAACCTTGGTGCACCAGTGACGTGTTATTTTAAAAATAACAGCTCTATTAAACCAACTCCTTCCCAGTCTCCACCGCTTCTCAGAGAGGAAAAAACAAAAGGTTACTGTGGGAGTCTGCATACGCTCGTCTCCGCGGGTCCCCGTCTTCCCTGCCGAAGTCATACGGCGTAGAGTTCATAGATCTTCTTTACACAGTACACCAGGGCTGCCAGTGCTATCGTGTTGTGCAGTCTCTTTCTGTGCAGGTCGTCCTTCCTCACCAGCACCACGGGGGTGGAGGAGGTGAGCGTATGCAGGGGCAGGCGGGAAAGTTTATAGGCGTCGTACTCCACTTGGTACTTGCAACAGGGGTCGAATTGCCAAGAGATGCCGTAAAGGGTGCAGCAAGCCACGCTCAGCACGCCGGCGGGCAGGGAGATGTAGTGAGAATAATCTCCTGGCAGGGCCAGGGGGGTGAGGAGACACGTGGTGCCCGCCAGCACGGCGGTCTTGTGCAGGCAGTTCCCCACGGTGATCCAGCGCGCCGTCTCGTCCCCGATGCGCGTGGGCTCGATGACGATGTATTTGTACTGGGCTTCCAGGGCCTGCTCCAGCTCGTACTCAAACTGGTCCTGAGCGTTCTCGCCGTTGTAGATCTCGTGGACGATGTAGCAGTCCGTGGAGGACAAGGTGACCCTGGTGAAGGGAAAGGCAGAATTAGAACTGTGCTGCTTGAAGAGAGGCTTTTCACCCACCCCGCTGTGGGAAGGGGAGAGGAAAATGCCTGCAGTGAGGGAGGGCAGCCCCTCAAGGTCAGCCTCTGCTACAAACCAAGCAGCTTTCTCAACTCGAGGTGCTCATTTCACATCAGCTAATTAGGCCTGCTGGACATGAAGTCATTCCAAAATAAGGCAACAAATTTTTCCTTAGCTTTTCCTAACTTGGAGGAGCTAGAAGATTTTGTGAGAACAGGCCCTTGTTAGCAATTCTGAAATGGTTCCTCATTCTGGTACCTGAGCAGTTTCCGAGGGGTCACACCACATCCATGAGTGAACCACACAGGCTTGAGGGGTTTTCACACAAAATAAGACCAGTGGCTCATCCATCACAAGGGCAAGTTGTACTGGAAGGTTTTCAGAAGGGAAGCATCTTCAGATGAATGTTTGCTTTCTTCCTAGAAGAACTACCTCCTTGGCACCAACACAGCTTGGTATGGACTCCCCCATAGAAACCCAACCTAGTTAAATCCACAGTCAGCCCAACCAGGGATTGAGAGCTGGGTTTGTAACAGAACAGTTCACTCCCTCTCCTCAAATAGGATGCAGCAAAGCAAAAAAGGAATGTTTTTTAAACCCAGGCAGGTGTTAACGGTGAAGAAAGAGCCACTTGCTTAACCATGGTGCATTCTCCCTACTGACAGGGGTTCAGCAGTCCTGTA